GAAGGCGCCTGGGGGGGGGCGGTGTCAGGGCTGCTGCTGCAGGGCTGAGATGGCAGAGAGGGGCGCCCAGGGGAGACAGGCATAGCCGGAGGACTACAGGCCTGAAAGCGGGAGGAGGAGCTGGAAGGGGTGACCTCTTCAAGAGTAGACAGTGAACTTGCCATTGGTCTGAGGGGAGGTGGGTGGAGGGAGGAAAGAGACGAGGGAGGCCGAGTGAAGGGTGGGGGAGGGGAACACTGTGAATTAGAATCGCCCCCTCCCATAGTGAAGCCCTTAGCTTCAATAGAACTATTTGGAGAGACAGTTTTAGGGACTCACTAAGGATAAAGGAGCCCTCATCCCATAGGATGGGGGCGGAAGGCCTCCATGAAAAGGGGAGCATATACCAAGGAAGGTGGGCGGGTCAGACTGCACGCCAGGACAAGCCCTTTGACTCTCTGTTTTCTAACCAGAGGAAAGTAATGGCCTGGAGGACCCCAAACGGGAATAGGGAGGAAGATAGGCTGGATGGAGGAAGCCAGTAGGGGGAGGGGAGGGACCCAAGAGAAGCTGGGTACGGTGATACATGCCTCTAATCTCAGCATTCAGGAGGCAGAAGTAAAAGGATCAAGGGTTCAAGGCCAACCTCTGCTACACAAAAAGTTCAAAGCCAGCCAGACTAACTACATGGGACACTGTCCAGTTGTCACAGAAGGCTGGTCACAAGAACACTTTCCGAATGTATGTTTATGAGTGTATGTCATGTGTGTGGATGCCCTCAGAGACCAGAAGAGGGCATCAGATCACCTAGAAGAGCTAGAGTTCACAGGCAGCTGTGAGCTGCCTAAGGAGGTGTTGGAACTGAACTTGAGTCCTCTGAAAGAGCAATCAATGCTCTTAACCACTGAGCCATCTCTCAAGCCCCACCAAAACATTTTGAAATCATTTTTGGGAATAGACACTAGTAGATACTTCCTCTGGTAGCCTGTGCAAGGCTGGAGTCCCATCTCCTGGGGCATTCAGACAACACAGGCCTAAGAGTAATTGACCAAGAGTCTTCAACTCCAGCCACTTCCCCAATGACCTTGAATAGTACTGCCTGTCCCCACCTCTAGACAGTGTGCCTGGGAAGATTTAACAGTGGGTACATAAGCCTGCAACTCCCTACCCACAGGAAGCTCTCCAGACACAGTGACCTACCTCCGATGCCTGGCTGTCCTAAAAGCAGGGGCCAGTTACACTGAGCCAGTGACAGAGACTTCCTCCCACCCTCAACTTTCATAGCTAATGTCTCTCTTCCAAATTGCCATCTGTCCCTGGAGCTCAGAGATCACAGCACAGCTTTACCTCATACCCCAGCCACCAGTGCCCCTCACATGTGCTTGGGACTTTTGATCATAGTCACAGGGGACCAAAATGCTTCATAACCCTTTTCTAATCTTCAAGCCTGAAGAATGTTCCAGCAGGATTTCCTGGCATTCTACCATAACTCTTGCTGTGCTAGGGGTGGGTGAGCATTCCAGAAAGCCAGCGGTTA